TAAATATCTCTTGAAGCCATTCTCCACATGTTATACCTGCTGTTTGAAGGACACCTGAATTTTAGTACACCTTGACACGTCCATGGTGCTAACAGAGATGGAGGGAGGGAGGGAGGGAGGAAGCAGGGGAGGATGAGCTTCTTCCTTGTTTTGGGTAAATCGTGACGTCAGTGCGTAGCGTGCGCGCCCCGCGTCAGCGTGAACGCGCGGCGAACAATGTCGCTCTTCAGACAGGAGGTGGCGCTTTAATATCAAAATGCTGCCTCTTCTTGTAATAAGACTTGTAATAATAATAATTGTAATAAAATATAGTGTTTTGTTTTACGCTTTATTTTGAAAAGACAAAAAAAACTTAATTAAAGTATTCAGATAGTATTATTAAATTATTAAAATACTGTGTTACAACTAAAAACTTTGAAAATGTTACTCAATTAAAAGTATGTATGTGTAATCAGGAAAGTGTAAAGTATTAAAAGTACACACATACTATTATATATAATGTCATTAGGTTATTATTAGTCGTGCGTTAATATAAAAGCAAGATTTGACTGTTGTAGTTGAATGAGGTGACGCTGTTTTTTAAAACTATTTTCTACAGGACTGCAACTATTATTTTAATAATGAGGTTAATCTGATGATTATTTTCTCCATTAATTACCTGATTGATTGTTTGGATGGTAAAAGTACAGAAGATACTGCCATCATTACTTCCCAGAGGTCAAAGTGGCACCTTCACCACCTTTTCCCAAACAAAAGTCTACAAGTCAAAATCATTAAAAAGAGATTAAATCAATTCAAATGATTACATTGATTTAATTCAGTCGTGGATCCATAACATGTTTTTTGCATGAATAATAACATAAACGATTATGAAAAATTTTCTGTCAATCCACTAATAGATCAATGAGCATTTAAAAGAAAACATCATATATTATGAGCACTTCATACATTTTTAATTCAAAAATCTTAATTTGTAAAGTAACTAAAGCTGCAAATAATTGTAGTGAAGTAGAAAGTACAATATTTCCCTTTGAACTGTGGTGGAGTAGAAGTAGAAAGTGACTTGAAAAGAAAAGACTCAAGTAAATAAGTACCTAAAGTTTGTACTTATGAGTTTACCATATCAAATAAAGTGTTACTACAATCTAATAGCCCAGTATTTGAGGAAAATATAATTAAATTGGGCATATAACTTCTTATTTCCTCACTTTCCCCTAGTTCATTCTCCCCTTGTTCCTATTCTCTTATATGTTTGAATATGCTCAGTGTGTACAGCAACACTTAAAACTGCAGTTTATGTAATGCAGTCAGTGGTTAGCAGTCACATTTTGAAATGACCTGACTAATTAGTATGAATAAAAGCAGACAAGATGGGCGTTTGTTTTTTAATATGTATATTTATAGCCTCAGTTTGCAGTGAAACCAAAAGCCAACACAGCAGAATTTTGCTCAGACGACTTATAGCTTACTTTCACTTTCCATATTTTGATATAGAAGTCACTTTTCTTTCCTTCTTTAATGTAAGTTATAGCTGCACGTGCATTAACCAATCAAATCATGTAATATTAGAGCTTTCATGATGTTTTCTCAGTTGGTTTAAACTGCCCTTTTTCTCCACTTTGAGATCACAGGATTCATGTGAGAAGTAAAGAAGTTGTCCACAGCCATTCATCAGCAGTAACACTAACCCCTCTTGAGAAGCCCTGACCTCCACTTACAAGGCGTAATTAACTTCCAGCAGACATGTGGTGGATAACTGCACACCAGACGTGAAGTTGCACTGCTCACACCAGGCTGACAACAGAGAAAAAAAACCTAATGTGAAGACCTGATAATGATCTACTACAACCAAGTGGAGCAAGGCAGCTATTATCAACCTGAGGACAAAAGGGAATGTTTACATCTCACTGCAGGCTAAGATTAAAAAATAAATAAAAGTCAGACTGAGATCTGCAAATGAACTGGGTGAATCACATGTGTTTCCTGTGCTTATATCAGCCGCTGCATGCACCAAGCCTGCTTGCCTATGCAGAGCTGCACAGATGGGCGTGTGGGGGGATGGGTGCTGTCAGCTCGCAGATCAAGCTGTGGGTCGGTGGTCCCATTGCTATTCACCGCACAAGCACGTAGGGCATGTCAGACACGTTCCACATAGACATACCAGGGGTTTTGATATTGTGTTTTTTTGGTGCCGTTCTGCAGCATGAACAGAGAACTGGCTTGTCCATATAGGGAAAGGTGTGAGAGCACAAGGAAGATGAACTCTGCAACTGTGCAGATATTCTGCTGATAGAGCAGTTTTTGATTGTGCGGCATAATTAAGCTTTTTTTTTTATTTCTTTATATCGTATCAGCAGCGTTTATAGCTTACTGATTAGTAAGTGCAGAATGGTGCTGCACATTTGGAAGTAAGGTGCTAGTTTCAGTCAGCTAAAGCACTTTTTACACAGGGTTTGACAACACTTTATGTATTTTTTTACTGATGTTTAAGCATAAATGCATGCTCATCTAATCATTTTCAACCATGCATATTGATCATATGGCGTATTTTATGAAGATTTTGGGGTTCTGGACTATATTTAAGATAAACTTCTACATGAGTTTGTACTGATACATTAGGTTGAAGGGGTTAAATGATTACATCCGCTGACATTTATCAGCAGTAACATGTTAAATATATATATTTTAAGACACGTTTCACTCACATAATGCTAATTCAAATAATAATATACTACTAAGGCCTGTGAGGCTCATCATTTTGCTTTATTTTAAGTCTAAAAATCATCATATTTTGCTGAGTATATAGTCTCAAATTGTCACATTGACAAAAAAAAAAAAAAAAAAAAAAAAACCCAAACCAAAACCATTATGTCATTTCTTTGTTGGAAAAAAATAAAGTTTGTGTCTATTGTTGGTTTGCCCACACAACCAGATGGAAATGAGTAATTTGGAAACTGACGTCAGAGGTGGGATTGCCTAGAATGGAGGATCTCGTGTGCGCTCGGCTCGCCCCTTCGGGTGTTTCCGGAGTGTGGGTTAAATCCCCGCCCCGCTTCATTCCTGCGTTGTTTGGGGACAGTAGGAAGATGGCGGCGGCCCCGCTGTACTGTGTCTGCCGGCAGCCCTACGATGTGAGCCGGTTTATGATCGAGTGCGACATCTGTAAAGACTGGTTTCACGGCAGGTACGTCGGTTGCGGTGTCTGTTAGAGACGTGGTCTGTGAGAAGCGAGAAACACGAGTTGTTTATTAAAGAAAGGCGACGCTTCTCCAGCGGTGTTGACTGGTAGCTAACTTAGCTCGCTAACGCTAGCGGTGGGCGACGGGGGTTTTAAACCGTCTATTGACACGACTTTACCAAAGAAAGTGGGGTTTCTTTCTCCTAAATAGGCTTGAATTTAGCCACTCATTCCGCCAGTGAGATCACCACACACCATGTGTACCCTGGTGTCTGTAAATATGTTGATAAGCACCGATATTGACTTAAATATAGCCTGTAGCAAATAGTTTTTTTTTATCCACTAATATGCGGATCTATCAGGATTTGCCGAGCGGTGTCAGTCAATCTGAGTGAGCAAAAGCTTGGCGGGGGGGGGGTCATCGTGACATACAAAATGCTGCCAGCTCTTTATAGTCACTTCAGAGATAAGTTTATTGTTGTTTTTATTGTGATTTTAACACATTAAACTCCAGTTAAACCGGTCGTTTGTATGCCAGTGTGTGTGGATCCCAGGCTCGAAATCCGGCTCAGGTTATTCAAGGTAATGGCAACCGCAGCCAACCTTTTACATGCACTTTTAAACTTATTTGTTTTATTATTTCATGAACAACTTTGTGTGTGTGTGTGTGTGAACACAAAAGCTGTAGGTTATTGTTGTACCCTGATTATTCATATTCAAGTTTAAATACACATTTCAAGCTGTGTGTGTAACTTGAGCTTTTTTTTGTGTGTGTGTGTGTTTTGTTTTTTTTAGTGGTTTACTTCTTTATTAGAAAGCAAATGGTAGAGAACAAGGAGCTTGTTATGGTCGGGCTTTTGATTGACAGCTTGAGAAATTTAAATCCCCCCTTTCAGACAGAGGAGGCACATGGCAGGAGACCCCTAGTGGTGAACAAGGGGACTATTTAAAGGCACATGTCCCTGTACTACTTAAGGTTTTTCTGTTTTCTAATTGTTTTAATTGTTAAAAAAGTAGTGGCGGCCACAGATTATATTCATTCATATATTCATGATTCATGCCGGGTGGGTGGGTGGTTGCCTGTCAGAGTCATTATGGGAATTGTATTGTGTAATAATTGTGCAATTGTATTGTGTGTGTGTAAGCATGTATGGCGTAAAAAAGAAGTCAGATTTCAGTCATACATGCTCAAGTGTCCACGCCTGCTTTAAGATCATTCTGTATTGTTTTGGGTTGACAGAGTGGCGTAGTTGTTATGTACAGACTGTACTTTGTGATTGGATGTTCAGGTTCAACCAGGCAACCATAAAACCTGCTGATGTGACTGTTAGCAGGCAGCTGCTGTGTGGCTCACCTTGTGCTCTGATCCTGAGATAGAGAATATAAGATTTCCCCCACAGGGATCAAGAACATATATTATAAACTTGTGTGTCAGACGCAGCTAACCAGTAAGACCTCACTTTTTAAGTCCATAGGCCGACCACACATGCCCCGTTCTTCTGTCCTTTTATTTGAATCAGCCTGTGTGGGTGCATCTCCACGGCAACTGTTTATGAATACAATAATCCTTTTTTTTTTTTTTTTTTTTTGCTCGTGTTGAAATGACGGAAGCCATTGCGTAACCATTAAAGCACGCTGCCAAAAAACTTGCCGGCCAGAATTTGTGGCGAATCTGAGCCAAAAAAGACTGGCTGTGTGTCATGTGCCAGCAAGAAAAGGAACAAATGTTGGAGCTTCCCCCATTGATGACTAATAAGCAGATACACACACACACACACACACACACACACACACACCCTCCAAAAACAGCCACATTTCCTGCCTCTTTCCCACGAGGCTGGCCAGAAGGAAAGGGATATTCTCTGGCTGTGGATGATGGTACACCAATGGAGTGGAAAGGAGAGGAGCTCAACCTCCCGGTGCCTGTTTGTCGATGTGCTAGCTGAGTTGCTGCTTGTGTTTTTGTTTTTTTTTGTGGGGAGTGGGGGGGCTTTGTCTCGCTGCCTCAGTTTCTGGAGAGTGTCCTGTTTTCTGTCACCTGTATCTTTCAGCATCTCAGTACACAATGCAGCCTGGGACTTTAATGGGATGAGGACTTGGGTCTGGTAAACAGAACACTGTGTGGTTTATCTGTGTAAAGAGTCGTGATCAGTGAGGTAATTTTTTTTTGTTGTTGTTGTTGGCGTTGAATTGAATGTAGAAGGGTTGCACCAATCCCAGGTTTTTCTCTCCAGATACTGATTCAACTCTGGGTATCTGCTGATACCAAGTATTGACCCAACACTCAGTCAGTGTAGTGTTCGGCACCTAGGCTGATTTGGTGTAATGATCTGATTTTTAAATCTGTTTTAATCTGTTAATTTAACGAGAAAAATGAATGATTAGCGCCACAGTTGAGTTGTTTTTTTCCCCTGTTCTTTCAATCTTCTCCTGACCCAGATTTATCTTGAGTACCACTGCCCTGAACAACTCCTCAAGGCACCAAAACCCACTACCAGAGGCTGTGGTTTGGATTACAAATGTTAGTTTGAACCCTGCTATTTACAGTTTAGAGTCTCACCTAATTATAAGGCATGCTTCTGTAAATGGATTGTTTCCAGTGCTTCCAAGATGCCAATTTACGTCAACACTGTAGATGTTGGCATGCTGGAAATCCTCACTGGGTCAGGTCAGCTCACAGGGTTTACCACTGTGTAGGTGTCACGCACTCCAGTCAGCCCGTTGTCTGACTAAGGTATGGACGGTGGGGGGAGATGATAGACCAGCAGAGCTCAATGGGGACAGAGGGGATGATTGATGGGCACTCCAGCTCTTCAAGTTCAACGCACGATCCGTCAATGTCGCACAGAGTGTGAGCACACTAAAGAGAGATGGATCGCCTCTACCGAGTGCCTTTTTAGTGTTTTTACGCTAAGTGGATGGATGGACAAGTGGAAGGATTATTCTTCTTTTTTTTGCCAGTGTTGTCTGTGAAAGAGACGTTAAAAAAACATTTGTTTAGATGTCTGATTAGTTAATAGACCAGAGTAATTTCAGGACTCATAGCTCCTGTTAAAAGCTATGTTTACATTCATTAGCAAGGCTGTCTCTTGGGGGCAGGGAAACTGCATTACTTTCAGTTTGATCAATGTTGATTAGGGGTCAACAACCTCACGTATTGATTACCGGTCAGACTGAATTATGATATTAAAGATAAATCAACTCTGCCTTTTTGAAATTGAAAACTTGTTTAATAAATATCACTCTATAAATAGCCCAGTATTACTGTCATTAGACGCTTAAGACACAGTTCTTAGTCATTCCAAACAATAAGCTCACGGTAATTCAAGCTCTTTTTTTAAAAAAAGTGCTCCTCGACAAGAATGAGAGAGATGATTGCTTCCACAAGTCAGTCGGTCTTTAGGTGAGTTCAGACAGAGTTTGTTGGCTGATGTATTTCAGCAGCAGACAGTCACAAGACTGATGACTTTGTAGGTTTTACTGGGGCACTGCGGGCCTTAAGACAACCATGTTGAAGACATGTGTGAAAGCAGAGCCTCAGCGCTCGGAGCCTCAAGGCAACTCAACCTGCACCAAAAACAATTAAGTTGTTAAAACTCCCTGGGGCTCCCCGACGCCCCATAAACAACAAAGTGATCCTCTTTTGTTGTTTACCAGCTGACCACAGAGAGGCCCACGGTCTCCTTCAAGCTGCAACCACTGCAGGGATGTTAGGTCGCTTTAATGCATAGCTAGCTAAAATGATTTAACCAGTAAGGCCAAAATGACAGATCCCTATCCATCTGTCATGGCTCAGTGGCTCTTACTGCTGTCCAAGTCCGGCACTGTTTATGTAAGCTTTGGCTGAGTGCATTAGGAAAAGGGCCGGAGGAGTCAGGTGCTCCTCTGGGGTAGATAAAGATAGCCAGGTGTGTTTAACTGCGCTCATCTCCTCTCTATCCCTATCTCTTACCACCCATCCATTAGGGATCTGCCAGCTCCCTAATGTAGGCGTGTCGCTGCCCCATGCAGAGCGGTTATTTAGAGCTTAAAATAATGGTGATGCCCGCCTCCAGCCTTTGTGTTTCTGCACCGATCATGGAGGACAATGAACCCCTCACAGTGCATGGACTAATGAATAAGCCCTCTCAGTCACACAGGAAGGAGGCCCTTGATGAGAGGAAGTGGAGGGAGAGGGGCTGTTGATGGCAGGGGTTTTAGCCAAGTACACACATCTCCTCTCATTCAGGAAGGGATGTTTTGCTTGGTAATCTGCTGCAGTGCCGTCACTGAATAACCCTCCAGCCTGAATAAGGCAAGGTTTTGTTTTTATCTTTGTGAGACATATTGACTGTACTCTGTCACCTTCTATCACAATACGCTCTGTTGTTGTCCCACAACATGAGATAAGACTCGTCTCATTAAGTATTAAAATGACTCCACTTGTCTTCAATCTGATCCTCGCTCCGATAGCCTTCCAAGCAAGCAAGGTTCACATCGGTTCAAGGAACTGTTTGCACACTCACCAGTTTTGCGATGATGCCACACATCATCATCGAGCCTGAGCGAGGCAGGAGGAAGTACTCGGCCTCCTTTCCCTTTCAGCTGAGTTTCCACCCCCTCCTTTTACAATTCTCTATCTTGAGTCCACACAGTTTCACAAGGTTGGGTGCCTTGTTAAGAAGCGATCATTACAGGTGACACATAAACTGAGTCAGGCCGGCATATGTGGCACAGTGCCCTGATTTCGCACTCTGGCGTTACATAAAGGAAAGTACCAAGTGAGACGAGGACAACAAAGTCACCTCGACTGTGCACCCGCTCCCCTCACACATCTCAACGAACTCGATGGCAGAGGCGGTGTGACTCATGCTTTCCCCAAGCGAACAGCCACATGTTTAAACCAAGATTCCTGATACATGAGCTAGGCTTAATACTACAGCCAAGCACTGCACAGTGTTATTGTTGGTCATCTGCTTGCTCACGTGCAGCAGCAGGAGTATTTCTTTGAGCTTTTCTTTGTTGCTAGTTTAGCTATGGATGTTTGAGGCAAAAAGTAACATGCAAAAGAAAAAACTGCCCTACTTAAAGGCAAATCAAATATTGAAATAAAAATATAGCAGAACTGATAATGTACAGTATTTGTTTAGTTAGTCACTCAGGATGATTGTGGCAACTGAAGTCCTGCTAGGACTCGCCCAGCTTAGTTGAAATCTTCACAGTTGCATCCGTTATGTATGCTTGTCTGTTTTACAGATGCGGTTTTCAACAAGTAAATGTTTGCAGTACAGCCAATAATAGCACAAGCTTGTATGAGGTGAACTGGGGAGAGGGAGCTACTGTTGATATCCTGTTAGTGCACCAGGGTGATTGGGGCCTGCATTCACACAAGCTCACCACTTCCTGATGAGTTAATGGCCCTCAGCTTTATTTCCTTTACAGTTTCCTGCAATTCCTTGTAGATCAAAGCTGATAGCAGGCTGCTGTGTCTTGCTCCATGTCTCCTGCAGGCGTCCGCCTTTTTTAGGACAGAGGATATATGAGCAACAAATCCACCTTTTATACCCTTTGTCACTATGGTAGCTCTCAGTATGAAGCCAGTCGCTAGAGCCCAAGGGAAGTAGTTGGTGATGGTTTGAAGACGGTAAATTTAAGTTTCAAGTCAGTGCGCTTGCGGTTTTATTATGGATTGCATAGTTTAATTCCTTCCTCGGGGTTAGCCATCATGGTGCTAATGGTGATTAACGGCATGTTTCTTAATTAGCCAGATTCAAAGCCAGCAGTGGAAGTGAAATAATTACTGGGGCCTCGGTCATGGGAGAAGTCAGATAAGTACATTTGTAGCTTAGTGAGTTAGCACAATGTTGTCCAAACACACTGGCAGTAAGTGACCAGTCTGGATGCATCAGATGTGGCTCCTCACTAGCCTCAAATTAGATTTTCCAAACTACAAGCTGTGCAACATCCAAGATACTGAGTATTAGAAACATTTAACAAACTACAGCCAGATGATGTTTTAATGGTTATTTCCAGGTCAAGTGGGGCCACACAATATGATGACATGAAACATGGTGGTCTTCTTCAGATCACAGCAATCACTTGAAAATGACAAGCATAAACATAGCCTCAAAGTACAGAGGGGCCTTTGTGTGTGTGTGACCTCCCCCCAACACACACAGTGCACATCACTTAACCATAAAATGACCTGTGCACATGCTTGAGTCACACAAACATGCAACTTGCAGTTTTTCTAACTCTAAATAGCCACCGGTGTCCAACTCGGTTGCTGTTCGACCCATGCTGCTCTGGAATGGGGCTCTGGTATGCAACAGAGGAATGCATGTGTGTTGGTGCTTGTGGTTCGGCTGTTGCAGGACAGTCGGGGGTTGCGTTAGCACCGTTGCAGATCCACTGGAGAAAAATGTAAGACTGCTATATGTGTACAAGCAGGTGCTGTGCAGTTGAGGGTTTGACCTTAAATTGCATTCACGTAATGACTGCAGAATGTGAACAACAGGAAAAGCTCCTATTATTCCAACTTTGTTGACATATTTTTTTTACTTGCTCCAAAATATGCTTTTAAGCATATAATGGAAACACAGTATTAACCAGGGCTATGTTAGTGCCCTTACAGTATTATTCTGCAAAGGGTTTGAAATGTGCTTCAAGTTTCCTGTCTCAAACTACTGAGGCAGCAGTTGTTGAACATTTGTTGGAAAAAATTAATCGGAGCAAAGTTCCTTTTCCAGACCCAAACTGTACTTTGCTGTTTAATTGCTGTTTGTTTATTCCCAACCTGCAACCTCTCACATCTCCTCTGGTAACACACACACAAACAGTGTTTGACATTTAGCTGATTGAACTGTTTCAACATGTCCAACAACAACAACATTGACAATCATGTTTTATAGTTTGGAAGCTATGCTGCGGTTGAGAACTACTTTACTTTACTTTATAGACCAAATGACTAATCAAGAGAGAGGCAGGTAAGTTAGATCCTGAATTACGTTTAAACATGTTGTTAGAATTTGGAATCTGTTCTGACTGTATCTCCTGTCCATCTACAGCTGTGTGCAGGTAGAAGAGCATCATGCTGTGGACATCGACGTTTACCACTGTCCTAACTGTGATGTCGTACAAGGACCCTCCCTGAGTGAGTACTGCTATTAGTCATTAGTACCATGTTTCCTTTTGTTTTTTTATTTCTCTCTGTCCCGCCCTCCCTCAGCTGGAACATGGATCTCATTCATCAAACACTGTCCTCTGATTTTTTTACCTTACATTTACATGTCTAACCTCCTTTCCATTCAGTTTTTCCCCTCCCACCACTGTCTCTGTATGTTGGGCTGGTCCCAGGGGAAAAGGGTCACTCTCTGCAGTGTTACTCAAGTCAGATTTTATTTTTGTTGTAAGGGGGGATGGGTTAACCTCGGGGAGCCCAGAGGGCAGACATTAACCGGCTAATTGAATGGTGTTGTAAGCCCTCCACTTTGATTGGATCTCCATCTCTTAGTGCAGGGGTTGAGTAGGGAATTAATGTCCTCACAAAAAGTGGTGGTTATGTGCATAATCCGCCACTTTGTTGGGAGAACAAGCTTCAAGAGGGACATGATAAAATTAGAATGGAGCAACCCTGTGAACCTCTGGTGTTTCTGTTTTGTTGCAGTGAAAAAGCGCAACAACTGGCACAGGCACGACTACACGGAGCCAGACGATGGATCGAAGCCGGTGCAAGCCGGCACCCCAGTATTTATCAAGGAGCTCCAGAGCCGGACCTTCGCCAGGTAGATATCAGTTTGGACACATGCAAACGTATACTTGTAAATTACCTCACCATTCAACCCAAGCCTTGTTTATATCTGTTTAAGCAGATAAAGAGTTCATCATAAAGCTCGTTTTACACTTGATGCAGGGGGTTAACGAGAGTCCTGTTACATATATCTACAGCATAGGTTGTTAAATTAAAGTTTACCCACTGATGGCACCACTGCAACACTAGATGGATGTGTGGTACATGATCAGGCTGTATTATGATCTAATTATGTTGCCCACAGTAAATGTAGGTGGGTGGATTTTTACTATATTTGGTTGGAAAAATAGCCTATGCTTATGCTCTTTCATTCTTTGATTCACTATGAAAGAGGCTATGGTTGTAGCGAGAGGATAATTTTTGCCGTGGAGATTGATGGATTTGTGTTACTGAAAACCAGCAGACACTTGAGCCTTCCTTCAGCTTGCTTAAAGTTGTCTTCACTATTGGCAGCTGACACTGGAAACTATGGTGTAGCCTACAGCAACGATATTATATTATATAAATAAATAAATAAATAAATAAATAAAAATAAATCCACCTTAGGTCCGAAGCTGCTATAACTTTGAATACTGACATAAAAATCCTCTTTTTTTTAAATCGGTCAAATCACAAAATATCCTTTTTTAAAGTATTTAAGGGCTCCTGACTCTGAGGCTGCATTTATAACATTGCAATGGATCAAGTTTACTAAACTCAATATGATCTTGTTTCAGTGGTGAGGAGATTCTGATGAGGATGAAGGGCGAGGTGGTGACACCCAGGTACCTGGAGAGACAAGGCTTCCACTACCCCATAGTGGTCACCGAGATGGAGGGCCTGGGACTCAAACTTCCACCCCCTACTTTCTCCGTCAAAGATGTGGAGCAGTATGTGGGTAAGGACACTTAATAATGAACTGGCTTTATTCTGCAGCGTTAAAACAGTTGCTATCAGCTGTATCAGATTTACAATAACGCATTAGTGTTTATCCTTTGGGAAGGACATGGGCCCTGTGATTGGAATACACAGTGAGCCTCCGTCTGCTTAAAAGCTAATGAAACCACCCAACACCAGCCAGCTAAGTGGCCATTGCTGAGCAGGCGCCATCTGTGTGTCAATATGAACAGGTTTCCAGGTTCATGGGGTTTTAACCCACTTATCAGGCATCAGGCAATGGCTGAATGAGTTCTAAATGAGTGACGTCTAAGCTTTCACTACCCTCTCTATGACCACTACGCTTCCTTATTGAAACGGCTTGCCACTTCCCGGCTCCTATTACAGGCCCATTACCAAGCCCACCGGTGTTTTTATCATTAAGTTCAGATTACAGACTCCCCCTCTCACTTTATCTCTCTCTCTCCCATGCCCTATTGAGCATTAAGCCAAGGCACAGGTGTTGTGACCGGGGACTGAGTGTCGGATTACATTTCTTACAGTTAGAAGACAATGGGACAACAGGAGCGAACGCTGATGTCTTCTGAGTCTCCTTGGGCTCTAAGCGGTTGTGTAGCCAACTTAGTGTGTGGCCAATTGGGCCCAGTGGTGGAGCGTTGATGAATGATCAGTGGAAGTCTAATGATGGAGGTCCCATAAATACAGCTTGTACTGAAGATTGGTATGATACTGACACTGTGTCATGCTGGTGCCTGTATTTGAACATGCAGCACACCGGGAACAATACGTGAAGAGTTAAGAGGAGACTTGACTTGGATTGCATTGACTTTACTGGGGGTTAAAAACAAGTGTTATTCCAAAAAGAAGATGTAAAAGTCTGGGTTTTGCTGGTGAAGATGCATACCATATAACATTACCAGTTCAGTTATGGCTGGGGGTTTTATGTTGCATGTCTTACCCCTTTCTCTTCCTATATTTTCTGTACTGTATCTCTGTTGTCACTAGCCTAAATGTTTAAAGTTGTATATAGACGTATATTTTTGCGAAATACCACACTTCCATTTAGTAATCCAATGAGCATGTATAGAAATGTGAAATAATATAATACCACAGAAACCGTACAGCTTACAGTAATGTGATACAATATAGGATTTGAAAGAGGATATAAGGAGCCTCATATGTGACCTCAGCGAAGCAACCAAATCCAACATTTCCACAGTCTGTGAGGCTGACTTAACAGACATTCAGTGAAGAAGAAGATCAGAGCGGTGTGGCTCAGCCTGTAGAAATACTGGATTTAAACGTTGGTTTGACCCCGTGCATGTACTTTATTACTCCAGGAGACGGTACACATCTGTGGCATCGCAAAACTACCTTTTAAGAAGCTAATGCATAGTAACGGTTTGACTTTTCCCATTAGGTTGGCGTATATGAATGAATTACGGAGTAACGTACAGAGTGCTGAGGTCACAGATGGGGCTGTGACATAACATTATATTGTATAAATGTACTGCACTAACTACTGGGAGTATGAAGAGACAAATTATCACCATAGAGTAAATGGTTTTGGATCACCTTGCTTTATAAATTAATGATTAATGAGAAAGAGGAGAGTTTCTGGCTCAAGCATGTTGACTAAGACATATTTGCAACAATTACGTTAATTAACGACCTCTTTAACATTACTGGGTGTTGTAATATATTATAGGAGAGACAACCAGTAGCTCCAAGTGCCTCTCGAGCTGCTTCAGTGCTGTGGATTTCTGACATTATAAAAGGTTTTGTGAAGCTGGTGTTTTGAGTTTGGCGTTGTCGGGTTTCCAGGCAGCTTTGTCTCTCACTGTGTGACTGACTGCCTTTACTCCAGCTGTTCTCTGTCATCAGACGCTGGCCAGCTGGGCCTTCAGAGGTGTTTGTGAGTGCAAGTGCATGTGAGTGCGCGTGTGTGTGTGTGTGTGTGTGTGTGTGTGTGTGTGTGTGTGTGTGTGTGAGAGGGGGGGAGAGGGAGAACACGCAAAGGGGTAATAAAAAAGGTGAGTGGGAGGGGTGTGGGGAAAATACAACAACCAGCTGTCTTGCTGCACACACTGCACCTCGGTCTTACTTCCGGCCCCATGTGTCACCCAAGTGTGATTTGTAGCGTCCCAACTGTTAACTGTGTAGTCTCTGCTTTTTTTTTCTTTCTTTTCCTTCTTAAGCATCTGCTGTCTGTCTCATACGCGTACATGCACCACACGAAGCCTCTGCACATACTCTTTCTCGCATCTATACACGTATTTATCTCTACGTTCGAGGTCTCCCACGCACACATACGCGTTAAATGCAGCGGCCCTCTCACCTCCACCCACTCCCCCTCCTCAGGGACTGGTGGTCTGGACAGACTGACAGATTGTCTTGCTTGGCCTGCTGTACAACCCCTCCCCGCACTGCCATATTGGTGCCAGTTTCCCTCAGGGCTTGTTCTCTAAAAGCACATGGAGATGCCAGCAGGCCACTGACCCCAGTGAACCCCACGCCCACTCGGCAGCCAATTAAAAAAATTTTAAGATATGTTTCATATACAAAATCTCCATCTGATATTATCTGGACTTAACGGTACTTATCTCCCATGTAGGTGGCAACAAAGTCATCGATGTGATAGATGTGGCACGGCAGGCGGACAGCAAGATGAAGCTCAGCGAGTTTATCAAGTATTTTACCAATCCGATTCGACCCAAGGTCCTCAACCTCATCAGCCTGGAGTTCTCTGACACCAAGTAAGCTTCGTTCTAGTCTGTTCACTATGTTGGCTAAAGGAAGAGCTTCAGTAAGCACAGATTCCTTATTGACACTAGCAGTAAGTCAGTCATGTCACACTTCTGGAAATGCTTATGTAAACCAGTACTGGCTGTATAGCAAATATGTCTGTAACACTCACAATGCAAACTTATTTACAAATGAAAGCTCATTTCTAGCTGCTTTTAGTCAGTAATATTGCCCATTTTAGATCAATTGTATGGCCACTATAACCTGACCAATACTCGATACAATAGGCTGATGTCGATGTTTGGGAACTTTTTATAAGTCCAACAACGATATATCGGCCAGTTGTAAATTACAAGTCTTTGTACAAATCAATCTGTACAATGTTTATAAACATACACACCAACAATATATCTACAATAAGCTAGATATTTTATCAGTCTAATGCCCACAATACGACTTCATGCTCATTACATATCAGTAAGTTAGCTGACCCTCATGTAACCAGTTACATGTTTGGGTTTTGAGTATGCTTGGAGATAAAAAGTTTAGTGTTTTCAACAGAAAATGGAAGTTTGAAAACCGTTAATTATGGAAACAGTTTTGGTTCCACCTTCTCAATTGTGATGTTTTACTTTTGGGAAATTGTGACACATTTTGTGGCATATTTCACAGTTTCCTAATAGTTCATAGGCTGAATGATTACTCAAATGATGATGACTCAATTGTTAGCTCTTGCTCAAACAGCCTTGGACGGATTATCAGATCTGTTTTCATTTGGTTTTTAAAAGCCAACTTTACTATCAGTATTATTGATTATCTCATCTCTCATCTCTCTCTCATCTCATCTTAATGAGTATATTAAAGTCTAACCTCCCTTTTTGTTTCACTTGCCTCGCTCCAACCGCTCATTAAGGATGTCAGAGTTGGTGGAGGTTCCTGACGTGGCTCAGAAGATGTCCTGGGTTGAAAACTACTGGCCAGACGACTCCTTCTTCCCCAAGCCCTTTGTCCAGAAGTACTGCCTTATGGGGGTCAAGGACAGCTACACAGATTTCCACATAGACTTCGGGGGCACCTCCGTCTGGTACCATGTTCTCTGGGTGAGTGTGTGCATGAAAAAGAGCTGATTATATTTTTGAAAATCAGGCAAGAATTGACGATGACACATTCCAGACCAAATTAACCACATGTTTGTTGATTTATCTGAGAGCATGCTGCCCTTTCATTCGTAAAGCCCGGTGATTTTTTTAGTGTGTTTGTATATACTGAGGTATTTAGGGCAGGCAGTCATGGCTGATTGGCTACCACTTGCTGAAAGGTCACCCTGCTTCTCACATCACATCTATTCATCAAGCAGCTCCGGGGGCAGCACTGCTGTGCCCGTTTTGATGATCTCACCCTCCCTCTTTCATAAAGCTGACCTTGATTTGGATGCGTGTGTGTGTTTGTAACAGCAGCATCACCGCAACTGCCCTACTCAAACACATCATCAGTGTGGCGCCTGTTGACTCATACTCGTCTTCATCTGTTTTGCAGGGTGAGAAGATCTTCTACTTGATCAAGCCCACTTCCGCCAACCTTGCACTATATGAGGCATGGAGCTCCTCGCCCAATCAGAGTGAAGTGTTCTTTGGGGACAAAGTGGACAAGTGCTACAAGTGTGTTGTGCCCCAAGGAACCACCCTGCTCGTCCCTACAGGTCTGTGGTTGTGTCTGTGCGTGTGAGACATTTCTGTTAATCGTCACAGCCAAAGGACCTCTAGTGCTGATATTCAGGGAGCTTTCACACCTATAGTTTGGTTCATGTCCACACTGGCTTTTTACAAACTAACCTGTAAGAGCTGTAAACATAGTCATTTAGTCTGATGTGTTATTACCATTTTAACACAAAGTAGTCCCTGTCCTTCATAAAGGACTTTAACCAGTGTAGCACTTTGCTAGAAGGTCCCACCTAATTGTTTGTCTAGTAATATTTTGTGGTTGACTGTTTTGAATGCAACACTGAAATCTAATAATGCCAAGACTTAAATTAAGTGGATGTCCTTAACAAGAGCAGTCTAAGTGCTGTGGTCCAAATCCTGACTGGAAAACATCAGAACAGTTATTGGAAAAACAGCCTTTTTTTATTGATTTTATTTAAGAATGGGAGGTTTGTCATTGGGTGTAATTATAGTTCATTAGTGCGTTGTCTAGATTGAATTAGGGGGGCATTACTGTGGGATGTTACACACTTTTTTTAAAGGACTTCAGTAACTGCCAAAGTACACAGAGTAGGACACAAGCACAACACACTGCTGCACAACTCCCTGCACTCATATGTGGAAAGGCACACTATTTTAATTAATTGTGCAGTCCTACTTATTACATTGCTTCCTTAATAGTTTTCATTCAGGATCTGAAGGTCCAGTGTGTAACATTTAGGAGGATCAATTGGCAGAAAGTGAATATAATGTTCATAAGTGTGTTTTCATTAGTGTATAATTGAAGAATTGTTGTGTTTTTGTGTATTTTCCTCTTCCATGGAACCGATGTTAAACCGTCATGTTTCCACAGTAGAATGGACAAAACCAAACACTGGCTCTAAATTGTGCTTTTTGCATTTTAGTTTTAGAGTTTTGCGACCACTGTAGCACATCTCGAACAGGTGGGTGAGGTGATGGAGTTGTAATCTGCAACCCATTACACCTAGCGGCTAAATGCCAGTAAACCCTACACACTGTTCCTTTTTAATAGTAGATTAAAAATGTATTAATGCTAAAATCACAAATCCAGTATAACAAAAACCTGTGGTTGCTCTGGACAAACCGCACCAGAGTCTGCTTAGAGATGGACTGAGACCTTCCTTTTATAGTCAGTCACGGTTTGACAGCTGTCATACCACCAAAGAAAAAACAACGCATGGGAACCAAACTGGTTAGGTGCGAAAGCCCCCTTAGAGTCTTTGATGAGCACCTACTTTGTGGTTTTCAAGCACAGTACATATCGGACATACAGCCATCAGTGTCACTAATGTTGGTGCCTGACTGACTAACTATTCTGCACCCACCCAGCTGACCTGTTGTCTGGCTTTGTTTGTCTTTTCACATGCATTCAAAAGTTAAAATAATCATGCTTCCCCATGGCTCCTGCCAGGAAAATACAGGCCTCCTGAAGGTCCTCTGTCATTGCCAAGGGAAAATAACAGAGAGGGAAATTCTTCCTGAGCAACAACCCAAACAGTTCTTAATGATTGTGATTACAATGGAAAAATGAAGAAAAACAGTGCTATTATGTAATATGATGAAAGTAGCAATGATGCTGTAGATCACAGCTTTCCTCTGCACACGACTTTGCAATCTCACATTATTTTAACCAGCAGTGCCGTAGTTGTTAATTTGAAGTTGTGTGAAAAGGGTAAAAAAGATGTTTGCGTTTCATGTCACTAACTGAATATGACATGCTTTCTTTTACTGAAGTGAACCTCATGTCACAGTCAGACAATTACCCATCCATCAGCCTCTCAATAGACTTTTTTTTTAAGCCGGTAGAGTTCCTTTGCTCTCCCCATACACCCAGACAGACAAAGCTCAGTTCAACCCGTCAACTGCTGGACGTCCTCAGTCAGCCTTCTAGCAATGCCTTCTCAGCAGGCTGAAGCAGCATTGTAAAAGAGAGCTTTTGGCAGAGAGGGTGTGGAGAGGTGGGAATTAAGTGGGGGTCAGAGAGCACAGTAGGTCAGTCAACCAGTTCATTATCAGGCCTGTCTATCAGACTTACACCAACCCCCCCCCAAGACTCTGCTTTCTCTCACTTTATGTTGTATAAAGAGCGCTGTTTATCTGAGGAGGAGTGCATCATTGTACTAGACAACTTTATCTTTCTAATGTCTGACTGTGGGAAGATAATTAGTTTGTTTTTATATGTTCACATGTGGATCTCTTCTGTTTACGTGAGACATTTTAGTGCTGTAAATATCTAACATAAATTTGAAGTGCCTAGTATTAAGGTGTCAGTTTAGCTCTCCTGTTTAAGTGTGTTACTGTTGCAACTTAGTCTGTGTGCAAGTTGTGTAAACTTGTGCTCTGGCGCCCCCTACAGGCTGGATCCATGCTGTTCTCACCTCTCAGGATTGCATGGCATTTGGAGGGAACTTCCTTCACAACCTCAACATTGGCATGCAGCTCAGGTAAACAGCTCACAACATACGAGACTGGCTTCATTATGTTTGTTTTAATCGAATCTAGAGACTCATTTGCTCTCGTTTGTTACCGCATCTGTTGGTTTGTAGGTGTTATGAAATGGAGCGTCGTCTGAAAACCCCAGACCTCTTCAAGTTTCCGTACTTCGAGGCCATCTGTTGGTATGTGGCCAAGAACCTCTTGGAAACGCTAAAAGGTAAGAGTCAGATGTTTGATGCGTACATACTACAGAGATGAGAACACATGATACTAGATGTAAGATAAAAGTTAGATGTTTAACACATCAGACATGTCAGAAAATGATAATAATAGAACGATAACAGGCTGTAAATATAGGAGGAGCATTCAGATGTATTTGATGCAAATAAAAGTGCCATTACAGCCATTATTCAAGCTATTGTAAGGTGCTGTGTTCAATCCCAATAATAGCCAGTGCATGCAAACTCAAAATCTTTGCTGTCCTGTTGATACCCTGTATCTCCAATATATATTAAAAAAAAAGCTTTAACTTTGTGACAGTACATTTTTACACAGTCTAGGGCATTTTTAAAGGTCCAATGTGTAACGTTTAGGAGGATCTGTTGGCAGAAATGGAATACTATATTCGTAGGTATGTTTCATTAGTGTATAATCACTTTAAAAAATAACCTTAGAATGAGCCGTTCTTATAACTTATAACAAACCAAACACACTGGCCACCGTAGTTTCTCCTACATGCTTGGAAAGCTGAGCCATATTCAAATGTTTTTTTTTATCTGCAACTTCACTGCTAGATGCCACTAAATCCTACACACTGGCCATTTTTAAAAGGTTTATTTAAACCGCAGAAGTAGGGTAATCTTCTCAATCTACTCACTTAACACTTACTTAATACTTAAGATACTCCAGTATCAGATCATGCATCTCTAAATCTAGTGATTTTTAATCTTTATACACTAGACAGAGACGATGTGAGCATCACCTTGTAAATATAAAAATTGGTCAGCATTCAGGTCAGAAGGTTGTCTAAATGTTATGCATCAGCTTGGAAGGTTACAGTGCAAAATGATTTACATATCCTTTGGACAACTTAGTTTTCAGTTTTTTTTGTTTAATTCTTACATGTGTTATTTTTCCTTTCTCAGAGCTAAGAGAGGACAACTGTCCGCCACCAACCTACCTAGTGGAAGGAGTCAAGGCTTTAATCAGTGCACTGAGGACCTGGTTGAAAAGAGAGGTGAGAGTCGGCCACAGTGTTCTCACGGTCATCTCTCTGTATACCTGCGCCTGACTCTGCCTTGAATATCCACAGTCCAGATGGTTATTGTTACACAGTCGGGGGGATGTCACTGCTGTTTGTGCTTATCTCCTGGATGTGTGTCAGTGGCCAACAACAGGCTTCTTTCTGTTCCCTTCTCATGTCTGAATGTGGTCTGTTGTGGCTTTGCAGGTGACTGAGCCCACCAGTGAGGTACCAGACCATATCAGGCCTAACCATCTCATTAAAGAGCTGACTAAGGAAATCCGCTACCTGGAGGTAAGAAAGGATGGATATGGGAGAGGGTTAGACCTTTTAAACTTTACACACGTTTATATGTCTTTTGTACATGGACGTTATCAAATGTCATCGGGGGCCCTTTGAACTGTTCTTCAGAGATCACGTACTTTTATTTAGCAGTGGCTATCATTAGGAGGCACATGCTCATCCATAAACCTTTTGCAGGTGATAGGTAACAAACCACTACGTACCCACACACTGCTGTCTTGTTCCTGGTTCTTAAATGTCTTCCTCAGCTGAAAGTGTGTGTAAGTGTGTGTGTGTGTAAGTGTGTAAGTGTGTGTCAAAATACATGTCAAAACAAAGTGGCTGATTATTTCACGACTGAATGATCACACCCAACCCAAATCAACATTACGCTCCTTGTACATAACTGGATACATACACACAAAAATTATATGATCATTATCCTCCTTTTGATCCAACAAACTAATTAAACTACTGAAGTGCAAACATGCAAATAATGTTTAGTCACAATAAAAAAGATTTTAACGGTAACAGAAAACATTTAAGTTCATTTAAGAAAACTATATAAAAAAATTTACCAAATGTATTGTAAAAATTCAAGGTCAATTATTAATATTCTCACCTTTTACGTACAATATTTGGCAGTGTTTACCTCCACTTTAAAAAAGAAAATTACATCAGTGCTACAAATTAACTGCAGTTATACATACTTTTCACCAGTCCAGTACATTATCTGTACTTCTTGTTATACTTGAGGAAACACCAGGCTGAGAAATTACTTTTTTACTTTGCCTTATTGGTATGATATTAAGGTGCACTCTAAATTTGTTTAACTTTTGGAACTCAGTTTATACGCTAATATGTGTTTTTCTGTTTTGTCTATTGGCTTTTCTTACTTTATGTAAAATACAACTTAGGCAGGCCAAACCACCCGATTTATGAGGCAACTGTAAAACAGAACAGAAAACATTTTTCTGTAATTAATTTGAATGTGGGCAGCATTTTCCTGCATCAACTTTTGGACTTGTGGGTAGAAACTTGACCTCATGATGTGTTTTTTGCTATTTACATCAACAGGAGGAACCAGTCAGTGGTAGCAAGCCAGTGAAATCTCAGGGAAGTGGGTGTGGAGTAGCACCTGGGTCCAATGGCTGCCCGGCCACTCGCTCCACGCTCGAGAGGCTGTGCCAAGCCCGGCGGGCGAGAAGGGCCGCCAGGCGGCTGAGGGAGCAGCAGCGGCAGGCCCCCAAAGTCCCCTCAAACCTGGACATCTTAGAGCGGCACACCAGGGAGGTGCTGAGGAGGCTGGAGGTGGGCCCGCTCGAGGAGGTGAGCATGTTTACTGACTAACAAATAAATACTGACAAAGCATATCATAAAACTGCTTTTCAGAATATGCAAAAAATGCTACTTTATAGCTTTATTTTTAAGCTGTTAAACAAAAAAAGGTGTATATGCTGTCTGATTGTATGTCTGGACTACAAGATGTGATATGTGATGTTTTATTGACTGGCCTTCTTTACTACTTAGGATGCGGCGTTCTGTGCCAAGGTTCATGGGAAGCTCAACAAAGTGTCAACTGCATCGGCTGCTGCTGCCGAGTCTTTAGACGACAACCACCTACGGCTAATGCTGGTCAACGGCAGGATTATAAGGTGAGCGATCACTTCCCTTTGGTCAACACAGCAATGTTTGCCTTTGTTTTAAATTAGGGCTCACTGGTCATTCACACCAAGTCGGTAAACCTAAATCTGACAGGAACAATATCATTATCTAAACGTTAACACAAACTAGAGTCAGAAATGTGTCTGCGTAATTACGTTGCATAGACAAACCCTCAGTTTGATTCATCAAACAGATCACAATCAAGACTTTATGGGAGATACAGGCTTTTTATGATGTGAATCTTTTTATTCTACCCTTCCACAGTCGAGATCCTTTATATTTTATTTTCCATCATTCACACGTCTTTTTGTCTGTGCAGAGATATGAGGCGGCCAGGCAGCAGCCCGGTAAAGACGGAGGGTGAGCGGTCACCTGTTGGCCTAAGCCCATCAATGAGTTGTGTGGATGTGAAGTCGGAGAGGACACACGGCAGTCAAGAGCAGCACAGCGCAGTCGACAAACCCACGCTCCTCAGTAAGTTACTCAGTGTGGCTGTTATTATTTCACTCATGCTTTAGCTGAGGAATTGAAATCGACTGTGTGCATTGTTTGAAGCTCATGGTGTGTTCCTGTGTTTCTCAGGGGGTCTGGAGAGGGTGAAGACTGAACTCAGGGAAGAAGTCTCAGGACACTCCAGTGTGTCGGACGTGGAGTCAGACAGTGACTCTTCCACAGAGGTACAATCACAGGATCTTACATCTCACATATAAAGAAAGGAAAACCACAGTCAATGCTGAGTTATCTAACACCATCAAATGTCTTATTTCTAAACTGAAGTATGTGTGGCTCAAACATATTAACAAGTTGTAAATGTGCAATGTTTATATACTTTACATTTAAATTACACTTACTTAAAAAGTAATTAAAATAGTTCACAAGTATACAGAAAAATAATAAATACGTAGAGGAAAAAGTATCACACAGGACATAATGCTACATTGTTAGGTACTAATTAGGCTTCTGTGTTGCATGTTTTAAAGTCCATAAGACGCATAAATCACTCTAGCACAATAAAAGCAAGGCCACAATGAAACATCAGCTGGAAAGTAATACATTAAATGCATTATGTTAAAAAATGACAAATACAACCAGCAATACAATCACCCAGATATTCTACGCTGGCTTTTAACGTTGTCATTACTGATGCATCCTTTCTCATTCTAAAATGCCAATGCAGCATAAAGCGTCGTCGTCGTCGTCGTCATCGTCGTCATCGACGTCCTCTTCTTCTGACGAGGATTCAGAGAGTTCCCAGGAAGAGGAGGAGAAAGAGGAAGAGGGGAGGGGCTCGTCTCAGCAGAAAGGCTCAGGGCACACCATAGAGCTGGACCAGTCTGGCCAGAAACTCAGGCACAAACACAAACCACTCAAACGGTGAGAAACGCATGCAAAGATGTTGAGACTGGTCCAATCAGGGCCTTCACAGCTCAAATGCTTTTATTTTTAAATGCACCTAGAGGTACAGAGTAATCAAATCCTGTCTGCTCCCCGCAGAGAACGTCCTACCTCACCCAGCACAGAAGAGGCCATTCAGGGGATGCTGTCTATGGCTGGTCTGCTGTGCTCCTCCAAACCGGAGAAGGTAGCCTCATCCCAGGAGCACTGGTGGTCCAGCTCGAGCCACTGCTCGCCGCTGGAGCAGAGGGAGGCGGCGCAGCACCAGCACCGACTGCAGGGGGACAAGAGCCCGATGGACAGCCAGGGCAACAGCAGCGAGGCCTGGGACAATCAGGGGCTCCCCAGCCCTCTCAGCCGAAGCCACGCCAGCAGCCCAGAGACAGACTACCAGTACTGTGACCCCTCAATGTCTCCGCCGCTGCACCCCTCCAAGAGGCATGCCCCCAACCCCCCACCTATCAGCAATCAGGCCACAAAAGGTTCGGAAAGCAGATGATTAATTTGACTTGATGTATGTGCAGAATTTGACACTAGAGGGCGGTTTTTAACATTCATCTGCTGAAGGGGGAACGTTTCTCTGTTCACCTCGAATCTGAGTTTAAGTATGATAGTATGATTGTGTGTTATCGAAAATAGTTAGGAAACCAGTCGTGCTCCATTAATACGATTACAGGTGTGATTAGGAAAGATATTCATAGATTCTTGAAGGAAAACTAATAATTAAAGTAATAGATCAGGTAAAGAAGGGCATTGCAGTACGATGATGTCCAGGAGGTGGAGGTGTTGATGCAGAATTGATTACAAATACGTCAGATATCAATTTACAGCCATGATATGTACATAAAAATGTGAGAAAATAACTATTTACAGCAAATGCATTTTTCACTGTACATTCAATATCTACAGTAGGTCTATAAGAACTAATGCTTAAATAACTTAGAATTCTTGCAAATACAATTTTTTGTTTATATATTTTATAATTTTAAGAAGAAATGCCTAAAATTCACTGGTTTTAGCTTCTAAACTGTAAATATTTGCTTAAATATGATCAACTTGTGCTCTGCTTAATTGTGATGTGCACTTTTATAGACATAAAACGAGAAAATAATTAGCAGACTAATTGATAATGAAAATAATCAATAGCAAATCTAATGTGGTTCTCTTCCAATTAATTAAATCCATTAACACGTGCTCTCGTTCTTTGTTTTCTCTTTTTCAGGCAAGCGGCCCAAAAAAGGAATGGCCACCGCCAAGCAGAGACTGGGGAAGATCCTGAAACTCAACAGACACAGTCGCGTCTTTGTGTAACACTCCAAATCTTCAACGGGGATGTATTCTTGAAGAAAAAAAATAAACATTTGTGTATTTGTTACCAGACACTTTAGTGCTGTAGAAATGGGAAGAGAGAGAAAAAGGAAAAAAAAAAAAAAAGAAGACACTGCCTGGAGACGACCGTAACTGAACGAAAAACCTTGACATGTTAAAACGCTCACTGTGCATGCTTAGGAGACAGGGTATTGGATTTTGAAATAAGCAAGTGCACGACTTCACTACAAGCACACTCAGAACAAAAATGTAAAAGGAGCTACGGGAAGCGGAGAAGACGAGCATGTTGTGAAATGTTCTGCTGCAGGGAAATGTGGACTAGAGCTCCTGCGGGCATTTAAATGGACAAAAGGAGAGATGTAGGAGGTCTACCAAACAAACAACAAGAAACGCTTGCGTTCGCCTGGGAGCAGCGAGATATCTACTGCTTCTGATGCCAACATCATCTGCGTCACATTTACTAATATTTTTCTCTCTCTCTCCGCTGAACGCGCCGCCCGCCCGCCCTCCCTCACCCACAACCTTCACTTGCTTCATGGCTATCTGAGACAAACTGAAACAGGGTTGGAGGAGAAGATGAAACGGGAGCTGTATCTCCAGCAGGGTGTTTTTTTTTCTTTCTTTCTTTCCCCTCTGGCTCTGAGGGCGAAACGAGGTGCTAAGGAGGAGAACTGATATTTCAAAATGGTGCTTATTGTTTGTACTTTTTCTCCACTCATGCTTGTCCCCTCCAGCCTTCACCTCCCTCCCTGATCCCCCTTCCCTTTTATCTCAATCACACCAGCAATAATGACTTTGAGGAGAGGACAGAGCGAGAGGCAGCACTTTGGTGCATTTTTTTTTTTACCCTGATTATTCTGTTTGAAAAATCAAAATGGGTGCATTACAGACTTGCACAATTTAGTGCAAAATCTACTCTCAAATCTGCACTATGTTTGATCATTAGAGGGGGGGGGTGAGTCTGCGTTTCTGAGCATTTTTTGACTAAAGACGAGTTGCTCAAAGTGCTGCCTCTCTGAATTTGTTTAAAATAGGAATTTCGAGTCACTCACTCGGGTCTTAAAAACCCCGAAGACGACTCGCATGATATCCTGCTTAATTTATTCTCGTTTTATCTGTGTTGATATTTTTTTTTTTAATGTGTTATTTTTATGGATTCTGAATGATGTATTTATTAATTGAAAGAGATAATGATTTTATTATATTTGGACCCTAAGCTATTCTGAGGGTGTTTTTTTTTTTTTCCTTTTATGGGGGTTTTTCCTCTCTTCTTTTTTTTAATCTTTAACACATACTTTTTGTAAATGTGGATGTTTTGGAGTTCATGTGATCATCTGTTGAGTAGCAATTTACCTACAAATCTTTTATTACCTTCTATTCTGTCAGAACTTTTTTTCTCCCCCCTCGCCCCCCCATTACCCAGTTGAATAGATCCTGTGTTGTTTCTTGTCTGTTCTGGTTTCCTCTTCTCCCTGTAGCCAGAGGTGTTGGGGCTATGTGCGAATAGAAACTAGGTTAGGTTGAGAAACGTCAACTTCCATATCTACACCTGAGCTTTTTCAGCTAGTGCCACTCATTTAGCAAAAAAAAAAAAGTATTCTGAGCCACTGTGGTCGATCCAAAGTAGTCGATGCATTCAGAAGAAGTGAACGTTTGAGGAACTTCAGTGGGATGGGTGAGGTTTTTTCCTCTATTTTTTCTTAAAAAAACAAAACAATGCCAGTGCTGATGTGTGTTTTGCTCGGGGTGCGCAGTTCTTCACTCTCAGGGAATGATGCCATGGACATAACCTTCGATTAACCACCAGCCACGTCATGGATGCAGACAGGATGCTCTCAGCACTCCCTCAAGACTTTAAAAGATTCACCTCTTCGTGCTTCGGAGTTGCTGAGGTTTGTTTGTTTTTCATTGCTCAAAAAAAAAAAAAAGATTTCCTGGTCGTGGTTTTCAAATTGTAATGATAAGCTGTGCTTTAACCAGTCAGTCATTGTACCTTTTCAGGCTAACTTTTACAACTTCTGTTAACATTAATTTGGTATTGTCCCCCGCTGCTTCTCAGCACACTTTCAGCTCAGTGTTACAGAGAAAACACCCTTGTTAAGTGGACTCTAAAAGACATTTCACACACACACGTAAGTGACACCCAGGCGAACTGTTGCCAAGTAGCTTTAAGACCACTCTTTGAACAGCGTGAGACTTTGAAAGCTTTGCTCAGGTTGATTTGTAGTGCACGTGACCTGCGAGTGACTGTGTGATCAATCTTTCAGCCCTGATGAGGTGTTTCACATAATGTTAACACAGAGAACCAACTTACAAAAGTAGTATTAATCACATTGCCAGAATGAAGCCCCCCCCTCCCCCCTTTTTTTTTCTTACACTACACTTCAACCTTTGAACTCTTTGCATGTCAAGTCATTGAAAACACAGGAGCTGGCCCGCAGGCAGGGTTTGTTATAAACTGTAGTATTCATCGTACAGGATCTGTCCCTTTCTGCTTTTATATGCAGCTCTCTTGGCATTTGTGTTGTGTGTTGGTTCTTGCAATGTTTTTTTTCCAGATTTAAATGGCTTATGATTTAAAATATACAAACACTGGCTAACTGTGACACTGTTAATGCATTGCATTTTGTTTCTGCATTTCAAAAATTGCGTGTAAATAAAACTAATGAAATAACATACTTGTCTTCTTGTCAAATCCTAATCTAACTACTAATTTGGTCCAATAATAGTTTTACACACTAGCTGTAAAATTGTAATTTAAGTTATACTGCGGTTTTACATAAAAAGTCAACAGATTAACATATTTACAGAGACATTTATTAGTCTTATGTAGAACAATAGCTTTACGAATATCCTGAAGATTTCCACAAAAACTTTCCCAGCAGCTCGAATCCCTCATGGTGACCTAAAAATAAAAGACAAGAATAATAAAAATCAGTTGAGAGGAAGTGAGCTAACCCTTTTGTCTTTATCTCTTGCAAGGAAAAAAAAAAAACTGTTGTCCTGATAAGTAAGCATACCCCTATTCATTTAAAGGAAACTGAGGAAATCACCTTATTCCTCATCATCTGGTGGAATTCCGAGCTCCTCGTCCGTCCATTGGGAAGCATCAGGCCATGGGAAATGACCCTGTGGACGTGGGAAGAATCTTTTTATTGAAACTGAACAGAACAATCAGCTCACTGGATAAACTGAGTCATCATTCCTACAGGATCCTGACTGAAAGTAATGAAGACTAAAGAGCAATAGATACTTTTATAGGTCAACAGAATCACTTTAACATTCCCGGCTTTCCTTTTCCACTTTTAAAACACTGGGATAGTTTACCACACTAAATACAATTATAGCTGTATTCTAACTACGCAAAAAGCAGGACTCCATTGTTATCCTATCACTGTAGCTCAGAGTAATAGAGGCAACTTTATGATGATTGATAATAGAAAATCCACCCACTGTTATTCAGCTTACCTGATTTTAAATGCACCATTTCAGTCATACTGACCTCATCAGATATTAATACTCTTCATCTTAGTTCTGCTTCGGTTGCAGAAACAAGATGACATTGCCGTCGCCATAACCAAATAGTAATAACTAATGTCATTTACTTTATTTCACTTTATACTCTTCCACATCAGTGTTGGGCTCCTTACTGGAAAAATGTAAATTACTTATTACTCCCTGCCAAAGCTTATTAGTTACACTGCTTGTTATATTACTTTTCTGCTTCACCCCCACAATATTGGTAGATGTGCCCTTTCTCTCCGAAACACAAAAGTATTTGTGCAGCTAAAGTTTCAAACTAGCTTTTTTCCAGCAGCCTATGAATCCATTAAAGTTACAGGTTGAATGAAAATCACTGATGACGGGACACAGTATTTTAAAAGACTTCTGTTATTTAGAGAGACACTACACTTTTCTACTATATCTTCTGTTGCCTCTGAAGGATCGGTCTCAAAGACGGAAAGTCCTCCAGCCAGAAGCTCCAATAGTTCTCTGTGTCCTCAATTTAAATCCAGTTTTGTTTATTAAACGTGACAGTAGGGGGGTGACAACAAAACTAAGGTTGTAACTAGTTTGGAGGAGTAACTGTTCCTACAACTAGTTCCTGGGTAAAGCAATAGATTGGAAGTTTAAATCAAAGTTAACAGGATTACCAGCTTTGTGATGCTGGTGAATAAAGTACATTTATTGAGTGTAGAAACTTTCCAGGACCCTATTTTAGATCTGCGCCTCATCTGAACTCTGAATATCCACTGGATATGACTCCCTATGTATGTGGGAATGATCATTTATGCATTCCTAATTTAACTCCCCCCCCTTAAAATAACGATTAAAATCCTGATATCGTTACTTTCCTGCACCAAACAAACACACCTTCTCAAACCTGAAGAACACACTTCTTTAATCTCTCTACAACACTTCATTACAACGCTGCTGTGTCACATTTCACCTTCAACAAACAAGCTGCAAGTTTCGTCTGGACTGTACACAACGCGTTCACTCACCGTGACAGCATCAGTGTCGTGCCATAAGTGCCAAAGGATCCAAAACCACATAAACCCGCCGAGGAGCTCGGAATCGAACTTCTGCTTCGTCGATATATCCGGACACTCCCTGTAGAGCAGCTTATTGGGGGGTCCACCGCCAGCCCTAGCACACACAAACCATTAAGAGCCAGTGTCCGATAATGGGGACTGACACCCGGCCGTTGTTGCTACAGCTAGCCGTCTTCACGGTACTTACTTTCTGGTCGTTATTCTTTGTGGTCCGCGGCTCATGAGCAGAGTTCCGGCTCGAAGGACTCCCAACGCCCTTCCCAAAGAAGACATGGTCGCTCTCCCCGGAAAACCACTCTTCTTTTGGGTTATTTGTTAAGATTTGTGCGAGCTACTACCCTGCTCGCCGAGGAGTCACCTTCTCTGCTTGTCAATAAAAAAGAAAAAACGACCTCCGAGTAACGACCTCTGTGATTGGACGAAAAATACCGACGTCCGTTGTTCCTTTGCGCTAATTGGCTTAAGTCGGCTTCTTCTTTGGTTTTTAATAGCGGTTGGTAAATCAGCTTGTAGGCGCGTTACCGCCACCTGCGGGACTTGAAGGTAGCGCAGCAGGAAAATAAATAAATATATAAATAAATAAATAAATAAAAGCAAACTAAATTCTCTCTATTTTTCCTGTTATTTTTAAATAATTAAACCATCATGTACTTGATTTCTTTCCAGGTAGATGTAATATTATGTCCCTCATTAAATGCTGATATGAATTCCCTTCCTTGGATCACATTTGCTGCAGTCTATTAATACATGTTTGACAGTTTCCTGCTTAAAACACAACGCCCTCTTCTGTTCTGCTCTGAACACGACTTCCCCTTTGAGTTCAGCTGTATTTGCTGTATAGTTTCCCCTGCAAATATTTTGAAATTAACTATAAATTAAAGTTGATAGTTTCTGTTTTTCATTTAGACACAAAATGTCCCTCAGTGAGAGACACTTTGTCTTTTCTCTCCTTGACTGATCTGTGATTGGGTCATTTGGGGTCGTAAAGGTTGAATGTGTGTAACTCTATATGCAAAGCGAGTGTGTGTGAGATTCACAAATACACTTGGGAGTTTTCTCGATTAGTTTGACCTTTTATTCGTGCTAAACAATCAATACATTACTTTAATTAAAAAGTAAACATGTCCACGTTTTCTTAAGGCATCATATGTGAATTTCATAAAATAGACAATAATTCAAAAATCATTTTATATATATATATATAAATAAATAAATAGACATAGCAGTTTGTTTACATGGCTATATATCGATAAATCTGTCCAATTTTTGCTGTGACTTTCTCCATAAAAAAACATCTAATTCTCCCTTTGGTTGCCATTGTTTTTATGTTAAGGTGTTGTGGCTGCAACCATTTGATTAAAACGTAAGATAACAGTTTCTGGGCAGTTAAAAGCATTCATTTTAAATTAAAACAGTTAAAAATGTCATTATATGAATAGACATTTAAGTACAAGGACACAATAAATCTATAAAAACAATAAGACACATCAATTCGAGATAGAAATAAAGTAAATACAGGTACATAACTCAACATTTCAAACAAAAATAAATAAATTAAAAGGTGAAAAAACATTTTATATCAACTCATCAGTTTTACCTGCATGGCCCACTAGATGGGGTCAAATGCTAAATAAAGCTGGTATGGGTGAATTCATCCGGATCATGTACTGCTTTTGTGTTACACACACTTAACTTTACCTAATCTAAGAGCTAAGACGTTTAATAAGGGTGTGTGCTTATGAAACTGGGATATATACACACACACACAAACACAAACACACACATAGACCACCAAAACACTCAAAACACATGGTAGAAATAAATGGTTTCGAGGATTCAAACCACATTTCCACGGTTAAATATGGTTTTGTTGGCCAGTACAACTCACACCACCACAAACAAACGTAAAGGGGGTGAGGGTGAGGGTGAGGAGGGGAAGGGGTTGCTGTGGTTGTGAATTAAATAAGAACTTCTCAGGATATGAAAACAGGAAATAATAACACTGTGGCGTGAACGCGCACGGCGCCGCCGCCCATGAGTGCGCGACCCGTGCACTAAAAGAAAAGAATCCTCGACGCCATCTTGTTCCCCGTCGACAACGATAGGTGATTTCACCAAAAAGGAAGTCACTTTTTTTTTTTTTTTAAAACCGCCCGTCGCAAATACTAAATCCTCCACTTCTTTGATAACAGATATAGTCGTGTCTAGCTTTTTACCCGTCGGAAAACCTCTTTAATAAGTTACACACACACGTTATGTTGTTACCTAATGGCGCCGGGTTGTAGCTGCTCTCCGGTTGCACCCCTCTCCCCTCACAGCTCAGAGCCCGCCCACAAATACTAGCTGCATGATGTCATCAGAAACCAACCGTTTCTCACAACCCAAAAAAAAAAAAAACAGTTTTCATCAGTTGCTTTTGGACAAATATTAATCTGGGCGCCATTATCATAACATAAAACAGGTCTGCTTCAGAACGAAAGCGCGATGGGCAAGAACGGCCATCTTCTCCGGTTTTTAAAAAAAAAAAAAAAAAAAAATCGACAGTTTGACCGTTTAATCGCTTCATCCTCCCAAAAAAAAAAAACCAGCCGTTTGCGCACATTTCCGTTCAGAAGAAGCGGGTGAGGTTGTGGCTCGGTCGGCCATAACTTTTCACCTCCGTCCTCCCACAAGTTTATTTCACACAACCTCAGTCGCCCGTGCGCCGGCAGTTTGCAGCGGTCCTGTGCGAGTGCGCATGCGCGGGGGGATGCGGTTTAGGGTGGGGGAGGGTCAAATAATGGAAACGATGAGAGCATCCTTTTACCGACATATGATGTCAAAGGGATTTCTACAGACATATTTTTCTGACAATAACCTCCGATTCACCACGATAATAAGGCTGTCGGGAAAATTAGTAGAATTATTTATTTATTTATTTATTTTTTCGAGTGTCAAACGTGCGTCAGCTTATGTCCAATTTGCTGTGGTTTGTTTAAAATGAATCAAATGGGGTTGTAAATTGCAAGTACTACTACTAGGTGATGATTATAGGTCATAAAACATCCACAAAATATAATATATTTAACAGAAGCTTTAATTTAGGGGGGGGTTTATGATTCTAAAGCTTGAGTTTGAGTATAATTCAACTCTAAATGTGAGTTTCTTTACACCTTGTCTTTATTCTATTATTGTTTTCACTTTATATTTGGACTTTAATCCCAGTATGAATTGTGCTTTCTTGCTTTTTCTTAACTTTCAGCTACACAAACACTAATTAATACGATTTGTGACAAGTTCAAGTTAATGTTGGTAGCCCTCTGAATATTTTCTGTATGGTCTGTGTTCTTTGTCTGTGATTTAATCTCATTGGTCAGTGTTTCATAGGCTACCCCCCCTTCCTGACATCAGTTTCAATATACAAAACGTTGCTCTTGTGTAAGGGGTTACATAACAGCTTTAGTTGCCTCCTACTGTGTTGTGTAGCTGATTTAGGTGCTCCTTTTCAGCCATGCCAGTGATAAAATAACAGATTTAGGTCCAGAATAGCCATATTTTGGTTTTGTAAGGTGAGTGTCATTGTGGTGGTCTTCTATGGCGGTATAGATGATCTGGACTGGCCTACTCGGTCAACAAATCCTCTGTTTCTCAAAGAAAAACACACCTCAACAAATCAAAAACCTTGAAGAGATTAAATGTCATATAAACTGGGGATGTGTGGGTTCGGGTTGAGGCAAAAAATACCAGAGCTGAGCTTGTACCATACCCCCCCCCCCTTTTTCCCCTTTTTTTTCACCCTGAGAGGAAAAGGAGGAAACAGGAGGGGAAACAACAATTAGTTTAAAACAAAACCTGCTGATAAAAACCTTCCCACAGCTGACTCCACTTTCACAAGATGATCGTGAAGATAGCACCGGCATTAATGCAACCAGCACACCACATTGTGTTGCCTGTGACCTGCACAATGTGCTGCAACACATGCTGCAAGATTTGGCTTTTGTTTGTTGTTTTTTTTGTTTTAAATCCTGAAAAAGAAAACGAAGCCACCTGTATTATGACTTCAAGTCTAATTATCACGCAAGGGTCCACTCTTTTCTTTTCTTTTTTTTTCTCTTCACTGAATGTCTACCTGATTAAAATCAAGAGTGCAGCACAAGTTAAATCCAGACCGTTGCCGACAGAAATAGCAGAGACTTGAGGAATCGCAGTCGTGAACGCGCATCAGAGCACGGTCACGGTGCCCCTGTAAAACCGAGAGGGTAGCCCCGCGGGATGAGGAGGCGGAGCTCGGGGTTTAGTGAAGGGGAGGGAGGGGAGAGGAGGGGAGGCGGAGTCTCGGCAGTCCTGGCAGGGCCGCCATTTTTGCAAAGGGAAAAGAGGTTTGAGGGGATCTAATTTCTAAAAAAGTCGCCGTTGACTCGGGCACAGTTTTAACGGTTACGAGTTCATTCCCAGTCAAATTTTGTGCCACCGCGTACAACAAGAAGCAAGGGATTTCCCACAGGAGGGCACTCGTTAGCGGACACGTTTAAATACAAACATTTTAAAGCTTTGCGAGGGATCCGCAGTGTGTGGACAGAAGTATTGTTTTGGTTGTGGAAGCTGTGTGGAAAGCGACGGGGGTCTTACCCAGGTCCCCTCACTCGCTATTCAGATCCTCCAGAGTGGACATAAAACGGTGAGTTAAAAAAAAAAAACTGCATCAAGTGGTGGTTGTTTTTTTTAAATGGAGTAATTAAAAAATAAAATAAAAATCCGACCTATTGTTGGCGTTAGTTAGCTGGCTAGGCTCATCATGCTGATGCTGGCTAACGTAGTATCAGCTGAGGTTAGCCTGCTAGCACCGTTAGTCCAGGGGGTTTGTAGACGTCAACACCCCTTCTTCCTCCTATTTTATCTTCTTCTTAATCTATTTATTTAAAGAAAAACTGCTCACTCGATGACGCAAGTTTCCATTGTGAGTGTCAAGTTGACGAAGGTAACGCCAAAGAGACTACTTGCTTTAGCTAGCGCATGCTACTAGCTCAAATTAGCTCGACCCAGAGCGAGCAAAGGGGGGCTCTCTTGACTTTCTCGTTGGTCGTGTGGCAGCAAACGAGACAAGAGCTTTTATCGGGTAAATGTTGTCCTACAGGTCGTGGTGCTCGGTGTAAACACACATTTTAAAAACGACGTTTAACGCGAAGGCGACAAACGCTGCAATTTGAGCTTAAAGCCCGACCCGTAGCCTTTAAAACGTGCATCGTCTTCGGTCAACAACAAGTTAGCATCGCCAGTAAGTGAACTAAAATAAAAAATAATGACATAATACTAGTCAGGAGAAGTAGATCCAGATGGGGACTCGCTTGGTGTTTAGTTTTGACACACTGCGGGGCCGTATTGCGCACGGTTTCATGCGTTAGTGTAAAT